TCGGTTCGAGTTTGTCAAAATCTTAATATAATATTAAACCAACCATTATATTTAGTGACATAGCTAAGCGGCAAGGTTGTCGTTTGTTCATATATCTTCACAGCATGAGTGTAGTTGAATATTCACACTAAATATTTCTGACTAGCCATGCTTTTGCTATGTACAGTCGCTATAAACAATAATGAACTAGAAAAAATATGAATAAGATTTCGACGTGTTGAAAATAAACTTAACCCAGAGTAATTTACTATAGTTAAATGAAGTGTAATGCATTTGAAGGTCTTGAAGGGCCTATATATATACACGCTCCACAACCGTAGTACGTACGAATGAAAATTGATATAAAATCAGTACAATTCAAGTTTTAAGATATAACGCTCCTGTATGATTCAGTCAGAGTTTTGTTGGTAGTCAAGATCTATTAAAGTAATAATAGAGCTAATAATAAGCTGCTATACATTGTAAATAAGTGCGGTACACTGGTTATAATTAATATCAGTGCAAACCGCAAATGATCTGCAGTTGTCACGTATTGGTTTAGCGAATTGCGCGCATTAATATGTTCACAACATATGCATGAATATAAAATTACTAATTCATAATTCTCGCAATACACAATCTATGATAAATAGATAATGATTTACCTGGTGGCGCGTTTCATCTTACTGGCGTATCTCAATTCATATCCCATAGCTCTCTGTCTGATTTAGTCTTTCTCTTGTATCGACAACATAAATTTGCAAAATAGTATAACGACCAGTCTGGCCATACTTTGAAATTTGAACTCATCACGTTGAAACAACTCAGAGGAGGTTGTCGTCAAACATATGTTCTGTTGTCAATTGTTACTTCCTGATTGGTTGAGCTTGATTCATAATCTTAATTTGAATTCTGAGTTTCCATGCGTGTGTGTTCATATTCCAAAGTCTAGTCCGGCAGAATATAAACAGAACTGCATGGTAATGGAAATCGATTCAACCATTATATCGATGGCTCACAACGGTCATAACGAGAGTAGCGAAGAACTTACGGTTAATAAATGAATACAGTGTGGCTTATAGTCAGTCTGAATTCGCTTTCACGAAGATTTATGCATGAAAAATTTGAAAATGGATACAAATTTGGACTTGGTAGACGCTAGTCACTAGACTGCGTTTATAATGCCAATGCAGGTAACTTGTTTTACTATTTATCAATATTCTAAGGGCATTGAAACAGAATTTGTTTACATTGTACCGACTATCGAGAGTGATTTTAGAGGTATGGTACATTGCGGCCGTTCATTTGATATCGATCGATGTCATCATCCTCCCTCCCATGGTGCCAATGAGTATAAAAAATTGGCTTTGTTAGCCTGGTTTGCGCCGATAATATTATATATCGCATTCGCATGTGCCGTGTATGCATAGAGCTTTCACGAGCATCGTTAATAATATTCATATCGTGGCTAGTTACCTTTCTTTGAATCTAAGACTAAGATTATATATAGGCAATATATTGAACAACGCGTCGACACTTTCCTGGTGTAAAAGCTGTTTTATTACGTTTATTGATTTAATGTCTTTAATTATAGCTCGTTGACGACGGCATCTAATTTAGCGGGGAAAGATTGCAAGTATTCGCGTCAGGTAGCCATACTCCAAGATGACAAACTGAAAGGCAAACCCATAGAGAAAGATTCAATCGATTCATGAAGAGAACAAATCTGTGAAATCGAACTGTCATACCGCATATAGTTTATATCAGATATGTATGTATTATAGATTTACCTGCCAATTATAATGCCGCACGTTTACTGGGTAAAGCCTGCAGTACACGAGAGCTATCTGCCGAGCCAAAAGTTACTCGTGCCTATTAGCTCAGCTGATCGCTCACCGATCAAACATGTTTGATACGTGAGAAAAGGTTGAGGCAAAAAATTCAGTAAAATGTACGCGCACACGGTGAGTTATGTATCGGCTAAGCTAACAGGCACGAGTAACTTTTTGCTCAGCAGATAGCTCTTGTGTGCTGCACTAGGCTTTACCCAGTAAACGTGCGGCATTGTTGGCAGGTATATCTATAATACATACATATCTGCATGATATAAACTATATGCGGTATGACAGTTCGATTTCACAGATTTGGTCTCTTCATGAATCGATTGAATCTTTATCTATGGGTTTGCTTTTCAGCTTGTCATCTTGGAGTATGGCTACCTGACGCGAATACTTGCAATCTTTCCCCGCTAAATTAGATGCCGCCGTCAACGAGCTATAATTAAAGACATTAAATCAATAAACGTAATAAAACAGCTTTTACGCGAGTAAAGTGTCGACGCGTTGTTCAATATATTGCCTATATATAATTTTTAATGCCCTTAGAATATTGATAAATAGTAAAATAAGTTACCTGCATTGGCATTATAAACGCAGTCTAGTGACTACCAAGTCCAAATTTGTATCCATTTTCAATTTTTTCATGCATAAATCTTTGTGAAAGCGAATTCAGACTGACTATGAGCCACACTGTATTCATTTATTAACCGTAAGTTCTTCACTATATCGTTATGACCGTTGTGTGCCATCGATATAATGGTTGAATCGATTTCCATTACCAGTTCTGTTTATATTCTACCGGACTAGACTTTGGAATATGGACACACACGCATGGAAACTCAGAATTCAAATTAAGATTATGAATCAAGCTCAACCAATCAGGAAGTAACAATTGACAACAGAACATATGTTTGACGACAACCTCCTCTGAGTTGTTTCAACGCGGTGAGTTCAAATTTCAAAGTATGGCCAGACTGGTCGTTATACTATTTTGCAAATTTATGTTGTCGATACAAGAGAAAGACTAAATCAGACAGAGAGCTATGGGATATGAATTGAGATTCGCCAGTAAGATGAAGCGCGCCACCAGGTAAATCATAGTTCTATTTATCATAAATTGTGTATTGTGAGAATTATGAAATTGTAATTTTATATTCATGCATATGTTGCGAATATATTAATACGCGCAATTCGCTAAACCATTACGTAACTGACAACTGCAGATCATTTGCGGTTTGCACTGATATTAATTACAACCAGTGTACCGCACTTATTTGCTTATTTACAATGTATACCAGCTTATTATTAGCTGTATTATTACTTTAATAGATCTTGACTGCCAACAAAACTCTGACTGAATCATATACAGGAGCGTTGTCTCTTAAAACTTGAATTGTACTGATTTTATGTCAATTTTGATTCGTACGTACTACGTTGTGGAGTGTGTATATATATAGGCTCTTCAAGACCTTCAAATGCATTACACTTCATTTAACTACATAGCAAATTATCTCTGGGTTAAGTTTATTTTCAACGCGTCGACACCTTATTCATATTTTTTCTAGTTCATTATTGTTATAGCCACTGTACATAGCAAAAGCATGGCTATAGTCAGAAATATTTAGTGTGAATATTCAACTACACTCATGCTGTGAAGATATATGAACAAACGACAACCTTGCCGCTTAGCTATTTCACAAAATGTTTTCTATTTTCCTTTGCAAGATAAGCGATCTTAAAGATGGCAAAGCAGGAAAGGCCAGACACGACACTTATATTGCATGTCTGAATATTATACAGAATATAATGGTTGGTTAATATTATATTAAAATTTTGACAAACTCGAACCGATTTCGTTGTGTGTAATTCTGCTATAGCTAATTTATCTCAGGTTGGTTTCGCTGTCTGAAATTCAGCTAGTAGCCTACCTAAAATATATCTCAAAATATATTTTGAAAAGCTCAAACCGACTTCGGTGTCTGAAATTCAGCTACACTCTACCTATCTCTAGGTGGTATTAGAGGGGGGTAATGGGGTATTTTCGTGCTGCGTATTGGGTTAATTTAATTATTCGTTCTTCGTTCAGTCATCTTTTTATTAAACGTTTTTCGATCCCGACATGGATGCCGTGTATCGTGCTTGCGGTGTATTCAATATCCGTTCTCCGTTTCAGCTGTATTTAAAGACGGTTATTTCTCGTTTCTGGACAATATATTCCATTAATTTTGTTTCTGGATTTTAGCTATGTTTTGATTGGGGACCGGAGGTTTCAAAGTATATATAAATCATGAACATCGACGCAATTGTAAACAAATAGATGAACACACCGCCTAGTACAGACTGTTTATATTCACCTTTAAAACTTCTAAGTATGATTGTTGCTTACATTTCATATTCACTTTACATTTCAGATTCGTAATAAATTTATTTTACGTGCTTCAGGACTTCCTTCTTCTATTTTTCATGCTTCAAGATCGCTGCATATTATTTTTCGTGCTTCAGGATCGGTACCCCCCCATTACCCCCCTCGTATTATATATGATCGATTGTTTTGGCAAACTCAAACCGTTTTCGGTGTCTGAAATTCAGACACCCAAATTTATCTCAGTCTGCATGGTTGGTATTTATATATGATTTTGACAAACTCAAACTGTTTTCGGTGTCTGAAATTCAGACACCCAAATTTATCTCAGTCTGCATGGTTGGTATTTATATATGATTTTGACAAACTCAAACCGTTTTCGGTGTCTGAAATTCAGACACCCAAATTTATCTCTGTCTGCATGGTTGGTATTTATATATGATTTTGACAAACTCAAACCGTTTTCGGTGTCTGAAATTCAGACACCCAAATTTATCTCAGTCTGCATGGTTGGTATTTATATATGATTTTGACAAACTCAAACCGTTTTCGGTGTCTGAAATTCAGACACCGAATTTAACTCAGTCTGCATAGTTGGTATTTATATATGATTTTGACAAACTCAAACCGTTTTCGTTGTCTAAAATTCAGACACCCAAATTTATCTCAGTCTGAATGGTTGGTATTTATATATGATTTTGAAAAACTCAAACCGTTTTCGGTGTCTGAAATTCAGACACCCAAATTTATCTCAGTCTGCATGGTTGGTATTTATATATGATTTTGACAAACTCAAACCGTTTTCGGTGTCTGAAATTCAGACACCGAATTATATTTATATCTGACAATGGTTAGTCTATTTATATATATGAGTGATAATCTGAATCCAGTTTAAGTCATGTAAGCATATGAATACTGCAAATTTTCACTTTAGCATTAATAATTTCAGAATGGTGTCTCGTTTAGACAAAAATGTTGTTTTTTTGCAGAGTCTCTGCCAAAAAATAGTATTTCGATTTGCTAAAATGAAATCTTCGCACTTTTTGTTATTTTTTAAATTTTTGCAGAAAAAAAAATAGTTTGAAATTATTGAAAATAGTTTGGAACGCGTTAATTATGTTTACCGATAAAGTATGCTCGACTTCGACACATTTTCAAATTTTACAAAGTTTGCGCGCTTGTCATTTTTGTCAAATGGTAGATCAGAAAGATATTATTGGCGATTTGTGTTGACTAATGTTAGTAGTTTATAGAAAAGTTAAAGTCATGTGCCAATCAAGTGCCACGATTTTGAAATAAGCTTTCGAAGTTGACATATTTTGAGACGATATCCTTTATCCGTTCAGGAGGGTCAATAACTGCGCTGTTTTCTATTTTATACCAAAGAATAATGATCTAAGTCATATCACCCACGAAAATAGAAGGATAAGTCTATATTTCTGAGCAAAAACTTTGAAATTTAGGTATGAATTTGATTTAAAAAATAGCGCTGAAAATATGTCGATATTTGGCCTTCATTCGGAGTATCAAGTTGGTTACCAGTCGATCGAACATCAATCGCCCCCAAAAATAATTTAAAGGAAATTTGAGTAAAATGACATCGATTTTAGTTGTTCCCAAGGATAGATCTTCAAAATACTAGAGTATGAGAGAAATCTATTTTTGAGCCCCATATTGACCTGGAGGTTTTTACGGAGACAGCCTCTTAAACATTAAAAACTTCCCATAGCCATTTGCAAAAAAAGTAACCAGATAACCGTTGAATATATAAAAGTATAAAACCGCAGTCCATTGCCCAATCATATGATGGAAATTCCATAGGGAGGGTTAATTTACACATGGATATTCCATGGACGGGGCCAAATTTTAAATGGAAATTCCATGGGGAAGGCCTAATTTAAAATGGAAATTCCATGCGCAAGGGTAATTTTACAAGGAAATTTCATGTGAAGGGGTAAATTTTACATGAAAATTTGCAGAAATTCCAGGGGAGTACCGACGTGAGAAAGGGGTTCCTCAACAGGGGGTGCGGATAATAATTGGAATAGCCCAATGTAAAATTATTCAAAACAAAACTTCAAAATATAAAAATAACCTGACATGGAATAAAAAATTTCTTGACAATTTTTGAATATACTGATACACCAGGATACTGAATACCAGGAGACTTTATATTGATTTTTTAAGTGGACAGGAAGCTAGCTTGATAAACTTAAGGGGTAAAGTCTGCCAGGAGCCACCATCACATTTTCATGGTAAAACAATTTGGAGGGGCATGCCTCCTCTTTTTAAGTAGAGAGCAGGAGCTTAGGAAGCTAGCTTAATAAACTTAAGGGGGTAAAGTCAGGAGCCACCAACACATTTTCAGGATCTATAAATAATTGGGTGGGGGTGGGGTGGGGGTGGGTATGCCCCCTCCTGCTTCTCATGCTTCTGGGAGAGAGCATTGCTACTTATATGAGCTAAGTACACTGTACACTATATTGCATTAGACTATTGTACATTCTGTGTAAATGCACAAGAAAATCATAGAAGAAAAATTTGTCAAATAGAATAATACAGTAGGTGTCCTGTTTCAGATTTCCATTAAAGAATGCTGTACTTCTCCAAAAGTGGACAGTTGCATCAAAAAAGGGCAACCTGAAAACCAACAAGCCATTCTGTGCTTTGCGAGAAACACTTTAAACCAGAAGACTACATCACAAATACAAGTGAATTGGCAGCACTCGATATTGACGAGGAAGTGAAGAAAGTCCTAACACCGACCAAAAAGTATCTTAAACCTAATGCAGTTCCATCTATATTTGAATTCCCTCCTCATTTTCAGTCCACTGGTCAGAATATTCCACCAAGAAAACCTCCGGTAAAACGAAGAATCTTCGAAACCCCTCCACCAATCCTGTCCACCTAAAAAAGAAAAAACTGAGAATATTAATAATCATGACCACCATGGTTACTGCCAGCACCCAGAAAAAGAAATTTCCCAGTTAAAAAAGAAGTTAACAAAAAAGAATAAGAAAATAAGGTTGTTGCGTGGCAAAACCATTAGGAAAGAAAAGACGATTAAAAAACTTGTCAAGAAGCTTGAAGAAGTGGATCATCTCACACATGAACAAAGTGAGGCACTAACAACCAACTTTGGAGGATTGACAAGGGAAATTTTTAAAAATGAGGCAAAAAATGCAGAAAGGTCAGCTGGCACTCGATACACAGAGAAAATAAAACAATTTTCAATTTCGCTTCATTTTTATAGCCCAAAGGGATATCAGTTTGTGCGAAAGGCATTCCACCTTCCATCCTCCAGTACGATAAGATCTTGGGCTTCATCTGTTGAATGTGAATCTGGATTCCTAAATCAAGTCATTACCCACCTCCAAGACAATCTTGAAGAGGACAACAAAGATTGTGTACTGCTTGTTGACGAAATGTCTATAAAGAAGGATGTTCTTTTGGATGCTAAAACAAAAAAGTTTGTCGGGAATGTTGACAATGGGAAGATTGTGGCAGAAAAACAAGATACAACAGCAGAGAATGCGCTTGTCGTCATGGCAGTTGGCCTGAAACAGCCTTGGAGCCATCCGATTGCATACTTTTTGGTAAATGGATTGACATCAAAAACACAAACACAAATAATAAAGGAATCAATCAACCTACTAACCGATGCAGGCTTGGATGTACATGCTGTCATATTTGATGGCTGTTCCAAAAATTTAGCGACAGCTAGAGGTCTTGGATGCAATATAAATGCTTTTGACGGATCATTTCCACACCCATCTAGACCAAACAAACTGCTCTATGTGATCCTTGACGTTTGCCACATGTTGAAGTTAGCGAGAAATGCCCTGGGAGACAAAGGCATATTTTATATCAATGACCAACCGTCCATATTCTGGCAGCTCATCACAGAGCTGTACAACACACAGAAAGACGATGTTTTACACCTAGAAAATAAATTGAAGAGTAAGCACATTCATTGGCACAATGTAAAAACGAAAGTTGCTGTGGCAGCACAGACACTAAGCAACTCGGTTGCATCTGGTATCGGATATTTGAAGGCAATTAGCATACCGAAGTTTCAAGACAGTGATGAAACTTCACAGTTTGTTGAGAATATTAACAATATTTTTGACATTTTAAATTCAAGAAGCAAGTTTGGAAGGCACTACAAGAGTCCAATAATAGGGGCGGATCTAGCTTAAAATGTGACCGTATCATATTCCTAGGTCTCGCATAACTAGGGGGGTCCGGGGGCATGCCCCCCCGGAATTGTTTTGAAATTTGAACCCCGGAAATGCCATCTCCTGCGTTCTGAGCCCATGATTCTGGCCTAAAATTTGGCCTTAACAAGGTCATATTTTAAACACAAAGTAACAAAAAAAACACACAATAACATTGGTATCAGTGTTCAAGTTTCTGTTTCATGAAACGTGGCCTGGGGCGTTTTGACATAGAAAAGTCGGCTTTCGCGACTGAGTATATTAATATTCTCGGCCGGTCCCTATTTAAATTAATAACATATTGCACGCGCAATGCCGCAATATGACTTTACAGATTAATATCTTCGGTTAGGCGAATGCTATGAAAACAAAAATACTACCGTTCGGTTCATTGAAAGAATATCTCCTAATTCCTAACGATAGTTTTAGTCAATATAGCGATTTATGAACTTTGAGAGGTCAAGCAATATCATATATTTCACTATATTACTCTTTTCTCGAACAATGTAAACTAGCCATACCTTTCGCCGAACATAACTTCGGACATATCCTTTTCGTAATAGTCTTGTTGTAATTGGCATCCAATACACTATTTATAAAGTGTTATTTCAAGGACGTCTTCTGAAATTATGTAAGGCCATCACTAACTCACTCAGTTACGTTAGATGAAATGCGGCTGTTAGCAATATGAGACGAAGTTTCCGAGCGGTCACGATTATTTAATTTCTTGCGCAATCAAAATACAGCCACAGTATCGGAGGGTATCCGACGTCATAGATACATGTCCTGTGATTGGCTGGATACCCTCCAAGGTATCCAAATACCTCATTAAGTTACTATTTTTAGTAACATTTGAACCGCGGACCGTATCAGAACACCGCAGACGCATTTGAAAACATTTTCCCGATCGGGTTACGTAACGTCGCGTTATGCCTTCGGAAAGCTCTCGGCTCATCTTCGTCGAAAGTAATTCAATGCTTTAAAAACACGTCTAATGTTACATTTAGAGTTGTAAATTTAAAAATTTACGAAAGAATTTGCCCTCGTTCATCTTAGTAAACTCAAATTTTCACTACTTTTGTAAACAGAAATGAATTGCGTGAAAATATATTAATATTGAATTTTCCCCCAAAACTATTTTAGTATGCACAATCGGAAAAATCTGACCGTATCTTGAGCTACACTCGATACCCCCTGGATCCGCCCCTGCTGAATAATATTGGAAAACATTGATGACTACTTGGAGGAGTACCTTAACGAGATTAATAGCTACCTTCAACAACTAGAAGATCCAGAGGGTGAGAAATTGGTGAATGGTCCCAGAAAAACATTTGTTTTGGGATTTGCAGTGTCATCAAGATCGATCATTGCACTAGCTAGAAGACTATTGGAAAGGAACTACAATAAGTTTGACTATCTTCTCACTTACCGCTTCTCACAGGATCAAATAGAGATGTACTTCAGCAAAATCAGCATCACGGCATTACGCACAGTGCTACAAAAGAATCTCATAACAGCACCGACAACAGGCAACTGCACCAATGTCACGGAGAAACCAGAGAAAGAGCTGGAACCCGACAAGAGAATCCTGCAATTGCTCGACAGTTCCCCAGTATGGCGTGATGATGTCCATGGTTACATTGGGGGTACATAGTGAAACAGCTCATTCCATCCTCGAAATGTGTTGAATGTCTTGATGCCTTGGTCGCCGAAGACAGCAACCAAGTTCCAGATCACTGTTCCTACACCTGCACATCGCCCTACAGTCCAAACAAGTTAATTTCCCTGAAGAGTTATGGTATCTTGATAGTCCCTTCACAATCGGTTGTGAAAGTTGTCCAGGTCACCGATAAAATCCTTCGAGAAAAGCTCCACCAGTGGCATCTAATGCAGAAGAAAACCCTTCAAGAGATCAAGAAACAAGTCCTGCAGGAGACCAAGCCGTCCACCTTCATTGAGCTACAGCAGCACTCACGAGAATGCCACATCCTTGATGAAAATCTGCGCGATGACCATATCACCACGCTCGTCCACGGCATTTCAGACCTGTACGTGAAGATATTCATCCACCGCTTTGGAAAGATATACTCGGAAAAGATAGTTCGTGGCGGACAGCCTTCAAAGAGACAAAAACTGAACAAACTTATCCTCTTTGGGAACGATTAAATTCTAGTTCGGCAGCAATTTATATTCATTAATTCATATACGTGGTCTATTAAATTGTGCACATAACTTCTCACTTTTACTGTCAAATCGATCCAAAAGCGGAAAACGCACACTTAATCTTCGAGTGATATAAAATATTATAATGTTCGCCTTATTACTTTTCTGCTAGACAACCATTTTCTTCGAATTTGGCAGCCAAAATAGGTCGTAAACACACTCCGTTCCCGAGCAAATATTTCGCGATCAAAAAGCGAAAACCACACAAAACGACCTTGAATGACATGAATAAAGATAATTTTCTGAAATAAAACCAAAACCACGTCCAAATTCGCCGTAGATTTTCCACAAAAAGGGCTAGAAATGCCTATGTTTGTACTGCTCAGCCCTGGTCACTTGCGTTTTTTGCCCGCTTGTTCCGCCATCTTGGATTTTTAATTTTGGTCACGTCTGGTCACGTCTCGTTTCTAGTCTTCAGAATAGGACCCATAGATGTAGGAGGTATAGATCGCCGACTGGAATGGTCCAGTATGGTTGGTACAGGATACTTCGCAGTGGCCTCAAATGGATTTGACGAAATCTCTAGTTAATCTTCCGGAAACGAAAGCTGCCCACAAGAAGGATAGCAAAGGAAATGCAGTGGTTCCTGATGGTAGTCACAGTCTGGCAACCAAAGCAGAAGAAGTGATAGAACAAAACGGTTTTCAGACTGGAAGCATTTAGTCCGCATACAAGCAAGAGTTAGTAGGTTCCTGACGAATTTGAGGAACACGAAAAAGCGTCAGCAGTGCCAAACTGAGCTCGCACCGGAGGAAATTTGTGATGCTGAAGACGTGATCATTCGTAAGGCACAAGAAGAGTCCTTTGCAGCTGAGTACACAGCGCTATTGAATGGAAAACCTCTGCCAGCGAAGAGTCAACTGGCGAAGCTTTCTCCGCGAATGGATCAGCAAGGTGTTATTCGGTGCAACAGCCGTCTCTACTACTCTGAGAGCTTACCCTACGACACAAGATGCCCGATAATTCTGCCTCGCGGACATTGGGTTACTAAACTGATCGTGCGATATTATCATGCATTGGCAAACCACGTCGCAGGAACTAATTCTGTGCTTTCTCAAATCAGCCAAAGATTTTAGATTGTTGTAGCTAGAGAATAAATAAGAGAATGGGAGAACGAGTGTTGTACATACCAAAAGCGACGGAACAAGCTGGCTTCTCAAGTCATGGGACCCCTGGCTTCTCAAGTCACGGGACCCCTGCTTTAGATTATGCAGGACCATTCACGACAGTCCAAGGACGAGAAAAACAACGACTTAAACGGTGGCTTTGTTTGTCTACATGCCTAACCACACGCGCCGTCCATTTAGAGGTAGCCTGGGGGCTTGATACTGACAGTTTCTCATTTCTCAATGCGTTTACCAGATTTACCAGTAGAAGAGGAGTTCCTAAAGAAGTAATCAGTGACAACGGTACGAACTTTGTCGGGGCGGTGAACGAATTAAAAGGTCTGGTGAAACTGTTAGACCGAGAAAAGATTCAGCGAGACACAACACAGAAGGGTACTACATGGGCTTTCAATCCTCCTAGAGGTCCTCATTTTGGTGGAGTTTTTGAAATAATGGTTAAGGCCGCTAAGAAGGCCATTTATGCGGTGATCAAGAACAGTGATGTTACTGACGAGGAGTTGATTAATTACTATATGCGCAGGTGTCAAAGGTTTCTTGAACTCTCGACCAATAACCTACCAATCGATGAATCCTTCTGATGATGTTCCACTCACACCCAACCACTTTCTTCATGGTCAGCTAGGCGGAGAATTCGCACCAAAGGTGATCGACATGGACGCCAATCCTCGTGAAAGATGGCGTAAAGTACAAGCAATTCTGTCACGAGTATGGGACCGCTGGGTGAATGAATATTTACCAACATTGAACACACGACCGAAGTGGACGAACGTGGTAAAAGATTTGAAAGATGGTGACGTTGTTCTTGTCTTAGATAAAGACTTACCGAGAGGAAAATGGCCATTGGGACAAATCATAACGACATATCCAGGGAAAGACGGACATAGCAAAGTGGCAAAGGTGCAGCTGGGAAACAAGTCATTGGTCAGACCCATTCACAAACTTGTCCCACTAAGAGTATAGTTTCTTGACTTTTAGATAGAGCCTTTAGTTTGAAAGGACTCGGGACCTTAAACTTGAACATTGATATTATGGACTAGAAAGGAGTTAAAATAGTTAAATCGCACTGCAATTGCATGTTCAGCAGTGCGGGGAGGGGGGATGTTTAGAAGAGATATGACTCTTACACGCAAAACGCGGGACACGTGCGCGCAGACAATCAGTGGATTATTGAGATCAGTGTAAGGTAGACAAGAACATTCTGTGCAAGAACGCTAAGTAAACAGTAAACTCGTGTAGGAATTTCATATTAAAGTTTATATTTCACTGTTTTTTATGCTAAATCGAGTACTTTTCGAGGCTAAATATCGTTACATCGCAACAGGACCAATATTTTCCGAGACTTTGTACATGATATATACATGATATTGCTGAAGCATGCATAGTGAATGCTCTGACGTCATTACGCCTACCCACGCATCACATAGCCTGCGTGGCAGGCCCTCCATTTTATGGGGGGGGGGCCTAATTTGCAGCGGGCAGGATTTTGGCGGGCTCCGGGGGAGGACGGAGCCTGCCAAAATCTAGCCTGCGTAGCAGACGTTAGCTGACGGGTGGGTACAGAGGAAACGCCTGCCCAAATTGGCTATGACAAATTTGTTTTCGCCCATTAAGGATGATTGACGTTTTGTAATTAGCACCTTCACCCATTATCCAATCATAGTCGAGATTTATATTTAGCATCATGCATGCTTTTTGCTCTCTGCTTTTTGCTCGGCAACTACGGAGATTTGCAGAGATTTTATGCACTATTTAAAACACGAGCAGCAGTGTTTATCAGATATAAAGATGGTCTGATAAAACACGCACTGCGAATGTTTTAAATTGCTTCAAAAACGATCGATCTAGTATACGTTCATTGGCGAAGTAGCTTTCAAAAAATTCGGTGTGTATATGTAGAGAAAATCATTAAAATTTATGTAAATCAAGGGAAATCTCTGTCACATATCAAGGATACGACACGTTTATGATTTTTCTTTGTGTTTTCCTCATAAATTATTTAGTTTTTATAATAATAATAATAATAATAATAATAATAATTTATTCATTTAAATAAAGCGCATATGTTATATTATATACTCGAAGCGCTGTACATTACAAAATCTAAATATATTAAGAATTAAATATGCTATATAAAACATGGTATTGTATACAATTAGAATATACACTAATGTATGTATCTATAATAAGAATAATAGAATCCAATATGGTCTCAACCTATGAAGGGTTATAAGCCTTATTGAAAAGAAATGTTTTCAAGCGTTTCTTAAACACAGAAATGTTTTCACAGTTCCTGACATCCAGAGGCAGAGAATTCCATAATTGTGGAGCAGCATGTGCGAACGCCCGATCTCCTAGAGTCTTACAGTTTGTTTTCGGGATGTATAATAGACCTTGACCATCCGATCGTAATGTCCAGCGATCACTTGATTGTTTTGGGATAAGCATTTCAGAGATGTAGATAGGGGCAATGTTATTAAGAGCCTTTTTACCGGTAGCCAGTCAGAAAATCTTGGACAGTGGTAGATTAATCTAGCAGCGGCATTAAGAACTCTTTGAATTCGCTGGACTTGATACTGAGGTATGCCAGCCAACAGAGCATTACAATAGTCCACCAATTTGAAGCTATTTTAGACAACAGTCAGTCACAACGTGCACAGAGCTTTTATCTTTTAAAAGACTCCTGGACCACGGTTGTTTAACGTATTCTGCCGTATAGCAAATATAACACTTGAGCATGTTTTGAAATGTTATTCTTAAAATCATCATTCAACCTCATAGCTGCAATGCCAAGTGATATAGCCTCAACTATCTGGTCTTGAATTATACTTTAAAGTGAACAAATAACAAGACAACTATATTAAAGAAATATTCGGGATATATTTAAAGTGTATAATTGAAAGATCAAACTTTTCCGTATTCCTTAGGAAGAATAGCGACAACCGGCGTCTTCACCACGTAGCAAATTAATAATATACTTTCTCTGTTCTAGTTCAACTGAATTTCGAAGCCTAAATACTTGAAATACTTAGAAAGTTTCTTCGAAAGCATTAACACTTACTGTCGTTCCAATTGAAGTGTTGCTCAAATATTGATTCAATACATTACCTCGGGCTGACCAATTCATTTCATCAAGTTCCTCGAGATATTCATACACTTCCTAGTATAATTGTAAACTTCCTGTTGAACAGTTTGAATGCACCAATCACCTTTGTTGTTTGTGCAACTAACCAATCATAAATAGAAAGGAAGTGACCAGAAATGATCAAATACTTGGAATTGGCTCTTTCACAGGAAGTGTATGAATATCTCGAGGAACTTGATCAAATGAATTGGTCAGCCCGAGGTAATGTATTGAATCAATATTTGAGCAACACTTCAATTGGAAAGACAGTAACAGGCGGCATATTTTTGACACGCGACTATAAAGTTATAAACGCGTCAACGCGAGCAAAATTATTGTTGACATTTGAGTTTATCAATAAAATCTTGATATTATCAATAAAATCCAAAGTAACATGGATAATAAACTTTTCTCTTGTGGAATATTTATCGACTTAAAAAAGCGTTTGATACTGTCGACCACGACATTCTGTTATGCAAATTAAAGTACTATGGTATAAGAGGTGTTGTCAATGATTGGTTTTCCTCTTACCTAAAAAACCGCTCGCAAACCACTCTTGTAGGAAATTGTATATCTGATAAAGAGGAGACCCTATATGGAGTACCTCAGGGTTCTGTTCTTGGACCTCTTCTTTTTCTGATTTACATAAATGATATTTGTAATTCATCTAAGGTATTTAATTTCTTTCTCTTTGC